AGCCAATTAATCTGAAATCCGGCGACCAGGTGCAATTCTGTCTGGATATGAGTGGAACCATGGAGGTGTACGTCAACGGTAGGCTGCAGGTGCAGTGGCAGCGATCGGACACCGACGCCCCGATGTTCCCCACGCCTGTGTATGCTTTGGTTGGGCTCAGGGCTCCTTTGATGGCTCTTTCCATACGGCTCGGGGAGGTCCCACCAAGTGATACCTCTGAATCGTGACAGCAGCGGCAGCCAAGATTTCGGGAAGAAAGGAGCGACCTGAACCATCAAGAGTGATGAGAAGAGTGAATATGTACAATAGCAGCTCAAAGCCCTACACCGTAGTAAGAGGAGAACTGGGACTGGCATCTGGCCAAGACTGACATTCCGGGTGCTTGGGAAACCATTCTGTAATTTTTCATTACCAAAATCCTTCAGAAATAGCTAAACTCATCCGTTTTGCAAGCGTGCCAAGTTCCTGTCAGAGATGCGTCAAGATGTTTTGTAATCCGGGCGGAGGCAGGATTTGGGGTTCCAAGGTTCAGGGCACAGGGTTGACCGGTACTATAGGGGCCTTCTTAAATTGCCTCTAATATTGAGGGGGCTCCTTGTTATAATTATAGTATAGTTGGCCTCAAAACCCTATTCTAATGATTAAGCCCCTATAGTCCCTACAGTAGTTGCGCCCCAACCCATCCCACGCCTGACACCAAGCACCCAAAAACCTTAAATTCTACACCTAAGCCCTGTAGACACCCTCGAAATCTGGGAGAGAAGCCAAGACACTACGGGGGCCGACCGTACTTATGGTACTAGAACCCCCCACATGCTGCCCTACTCAATTTTCTGGTGTTGAGGGGTTCAGGTTTGTTATAGAGGTTGCTATGGAGTACTATAGAGGTTGGAATACTAGCCATCTCCTGAACATGTCTTGCATTTTCTAGCGCGAAAACCCATTGAAATCGTGGAGGCCCCTGCATTACTTCTTGAGGCTTCTAGGTATTGCCCTCACATGACCTCTGGTGTCGAGTACAGGGTTTCGCCACACGGTCAAGTCGCCTGTCCACCCGAAACCCAACCGCCTACACTCCAGCACTCTAACCCTGACCCTGATTTTTAGCTGGTGTAAAAGTCTATCACCCTAAATCATGTCAAAATCTGTGAAGTCCCTTGATTCCTTAAAATCCACGCCCCAAGGTCACCTTTAACCCTTGAACATCTCTGTAACAATAAGGCAACACATTGTGAACGAGCTTGCAAAACACAAAACAGCATACAGATTGAGCAGCGCCATTGCGCTAGCACACCAAAGTGCATTCACAAAGAAGCGCGTCATACGCAAAACCCTCAATCCCCAAACCACCGAAACCCCACAGGCCCGTTAAACCCTAAATCCCGAACCAACACCCCCCTACGTGCGCTAAGCCCCACACCCCTCGAAACCCAAAGCCAATAAGTATTCATCAACGACAGCGCCAAACCCCAAAACCGACAAAATTGCCCATATTCCCCGGGAGCAGTAAACCCTAAACCCTAAACCCTAAACCCTAAACCCTGGTGGCCTGAAGCCCTAAAGCCCTAAATCCGAAACCCGGAGCCTTCCCTGCCTTGTGCAAGATTTGTGCGAGAGTGAGAATCGAAACCCTAAAACTCCTAAACCCCTAAACTCCGAACCCGGCCCCCTTGGGCTCTATACCCTAAACCCACTAAACCCACTAAACCCACTAAACCCACTAAACCCTAAACCCTAAACCCTAAACCCTAAACCCTGAAGCCACCCACCAGCCCTGGCGAAATCCTAGCATGGATTACCAGCCACTGCGCAAGAAGACACCCTGAACCCTAAACCCTTAAACCCCTGCATAGATCCCTTAAAAGGAACCCTAGGGTTCCTTTAAGGGAACCCTGCATAGATCCCTTAAAAGGAACCCTAATTTCCTTTAAAGGAGATCGTAGGGCTCCTTTAAAGGAGCCGGAGAATGCCTGGAGTCGGGAGGTGGCCGAAGCTGCCGTGGATCCTCGGCCAGCGGCACCTGCGATCGGGTCCAAGGGAGGCCGGGGGGCACCGAGGCCCCGGGGGGCTCACAGGAACCCTTAAGGGATCTTAGGGGTGGTTCCTTTCAGGGATCTATAGGGGTTCCTTTGAGGGTTCCTTTCAGGGATCTATAGGGGTTCCTTTAAGGGTTCCTTTCAGGGATCTAGGGGTTCCTTTAAGGGTTCCTTTCAGGGATCTATAGGGGTTCCTTTGAGGGTTCCTTTCAGGGATCTATAGGGGTTCCTTTAAGGGTTCCTTTCATTGATCTATAGGGGTTCCTTTGAGGGTTCCTTTCAGGGATCTATAGGGGTTCCTTTGAGGGTTCCTTTCAGGGATCTATAGGGGTTCCTTTGAGGGTTCCTTTCAGGGATCTATAGGGGTTCCTTTGAGGGTTCCTTTCAGGGATCTATAGGGAGCCCTTGTCACGTATAAGTATATGGGAGTTTTCGATAATAGGGTTCCTTTCAGGGATCTATAGGGGTTCCTTTCAGGGATCTATAGGGGTTCCTTTGAGGGTTCCTTTCAGGGATCTATAGGGGTTCCTTTGAGGGTTCCTTTCAGGCTATAGGTTCCTTTAAGGCTTTTGGCTGTGGGAGGGGTATAGGGGTCTAGGGACCCTAAGGAACCTACCGTTTTAAGGTTCCCAAATGTGATTTCTTTATATAAGTCTTTCAAAAAGTATGTTACTTGGGGCTTTTGGCTTTGGGGGGGTTTAGGGGTTTAGGGTTTAGTGTTTTTGGCTTGGGGTTTAGGGGATTAGGGGTTTAGGGTCTAGGGCTTGGGGGTTTAGGGGTTTAGGGTGCAGCGTTTGGGGATTCCTTTAAGGGATTTCTTGTAGGGCTCCTGTAAGGGATTCAGGGAGTCCTCTCAGGGTTCCTTTCAGGATCTCTTTTAGGGTTTCCTTGAAGGGGTTTCTTTTAGGGTTAGGGTTCCCTTTAAGGGATTCCTTTAAGGTATTCTGTTGAGGGGTTTCTTTAAGGTTCAGGGTGTCGAGCTTAGGACTTGGGCCTGTGCCTCTGACACAAGTATCACAAATCTGGGTTTTTTAGGGATGAGGGTTTAGGGTTTTGGGGTTTAGGGTTTAGGGTTGAGGGTTTAGGGTTTGTGTTTCTTGTTTTTGGTTTCGGGGCTTGGCGAAGTTTAAAGTTAAGGGTTTTAAGGGGTGTCCAACGCCATCAGGACCCTACTATTTAGAACCTAGGGCCATCCTTTGCGATTAGCTTTCATGTTTTTTTTGGGCTTTCTGGTTTCATGCAAGGTTTGGTAGCGATTGATTGAAGCTCAGATAGAGGTTTTCAGGGTTCCAAACCCTAGTGTTCGTGGTTCTGGCATTCAGTGTTTATTTTGGGATGTGTTGTTCATGTAACTATGCGGTGCCCGCTTGATGATCGTTTCGTGTTGTTCAGCCACCACCACGGATTAGGCCATCAGGCTGTTGACGATGTCGGTTGTTAGGTGCAGAGCCAGAAGCCCAAAACCTCAAACTCTGCATGAACCACCTTAGGGGCACTTAGAAACAATTTTTAATTCCTGGTTATTAAAATCCCTAAAAACAGCTAAAATTATAAGTTCTGCTAGGGTTCTAAGTTCAGTATAGCCACCCCAACCCAAACACCAAAAACCTGAAACGGCTCATCCCTGAACCCTAAACAGCCCCCCGAACCCCAGCATGCCAGAACCAATGAAATACCCGATAAACCCTTAGGGTACTTTGAAAAGCAAGCATGACAGCGCTTCCAGAAGTCCTAGACTCTAAATCCCATACCCCAAACCTCCTTTGAAAAGCACGAAATCCCGCGGAACACTTCGAAGGAGATTTTTCCCATTGAAGTCAACTCAAAACCCTATGAACTAAAAACCCTAACCCTTAACCCTAAACCCTAAACCCTAAACCCTAAACCCTAAACCCTAAACCCTAAACCCCTAAACCCTAAACCCCTAAACCCCTAAACCCTAAGCTCGACGCAGGCGTTTGGAGCTCGCCGAGTTTCAAGGTCGCCGCGGCTTGGATGTTGTTTGATTCCACGAAGTTCAGGGTTTAGGGCCCAGGGGTGGTTTAGGGTTTAGGGTTTAGGGTTTAGGGCTTAGAGTGTAGGGGTCAGCAAAATTGAGCAACAAGGGTTTGGTTGGACTTACGGTTTAGTACGTAGGGGCTTAGGAGGTGTCATTGCTTTTTTCTGTGGTTCTAGCGCATTGGTCGAGTATTTGAGTCCTATCGGGGCTTGTTGTGCATCAGATGGATCCTTAAGAGAAAGCTAGAGGAAGTGTATAGTCAGCAGTACAGCAGGATTTTGGTACTACCAAACTGTCGGGCCCCAAACCCTAAACCCTAATAAGAACCTTGCCTGGCATGTCCGAGTTGTGAGAGCGTAAACTCTAGTAAGATTTGGGCAGCAGCTTGTTGTAACACCGCACTTGGAGGCCCTTTTGACTTAGTAAGTAGGGTTAGTAAGGTGGGTTGTGGGGATTATAATAAGGTTTCTAGGGGATACTAAGTAGACTTACTAAGTCAAAAGGGCCTCCAAGCAGGGGGAAAAGCCCTAAACCCCAAACTCAGACCTCCCCGACCCCCAACCCTTCAAACGGACACCTATATACCCAAAAAATCTAAAATACAGTAAACACCTGCCTCCCTTTAAAGGAAACCTGAAGCCCTAGACACCCTCTTTTTTTTAATTAAGGAATATGCCTTAAGTTACAGCAGGATCCTTAATATGATTTAAGGCATATTCCTTAATTAAGGGATTTTGGAAGGTCTGGGCCACCCCCCCCAAAACCCTAAACCCTGCGAGCGCCCAAGGCGGCTCGCACGGTCGCGTAGGAATGATGCTCAAGAAGACGTGTCAGCAGGCTTCAGCACGACGAGGGCTTCGATATGGCTCGGCTAAAGCAGAGTAGAAGCAACCCTGGTGCGCCTCTTTTGGACGCCTTGATGACAAAGCTGCGTAGACACAAGACGTGCGTCGGAGCAGCCAGGTTTAACCTTTATGCCCCCCCGTCTCCTGGTTCCCCGGAAGCCGTGACGTCCCTTTGGTATCTAATCCTGAGCTTAGGGGATCCAAACCAACCTGCTTGCGGCGCCGAGCAGACATCATCTCGGGATCCTCAACGATCTTCCATGTATGCTTCATACGATAGAAAAGTTCTAACTCCCGGCTGCCACTCTTGGTCAGTGCATTCGCCAACTGGGCTTCCGAGTGTACCCATCGCATAATGAGGCCATGGTTGTTCTGTGCCTCCTTCAAGGAGAGAAGCTCGATGTTCGTTCGCTTCTCTGCCCCTTTGATTACAAGGACCTCTGTATTCAGTTTGTCGTAGACGTTCCTTGAGTCCGTGATCAAACATCCTTGCACCTTAGCTACTGCTATGTCTGGGTGTCGCACATGAGGTCGCCCGTAACAAAGTTCACTCCACTGGTACCTCGCAAAGTACAAAGCGTCTTCGCCGTTGATGGCGGCTTGCGCCTCGGATGCTCCGGGTGAGCGGCAAGACCTGTCAATCCTATTGGAATGCCATGATATTGGAGTAATTCGTCCCAGCTCACCCTGCAACATGCTAGAAGGTCCTATGCCAATGAGGATTCCTTGGGTGGATCCGCCGTCGCGACGGTTTTGGCTAGCAGCATCTACCCATCCATACAAGCTCAAGGGTTCCTCCTCGGCTGTGTCCTTTCTGGGCCTTAGTGTTGTAAGCCAAGACATTGGCTCGGATGATGGTCTGGACCGTGCTTTCGGTGACTTCTGACAACAGGAGGCTGACCTCAGCTGAAACATGCGGTGCTACCTGTTGGGCGTGCCAGGACAGGCCGCCCAGGAGAGCCCTGAGTTGGGTCTTCTCGCGCTCTGTAGTGGAGGCGTTGGTATCCTTACGCCGTGAAGAAGACAAAGGTATCTCTTTAATCCCTTCCACGTAGCGCTCCTGGCTCAAAGCAAAACCGTCTTCAGTACGTTCCACTTGCACACCACATTGAATGAAACGGTCTGTTTCCCAGTCGCCCCACTGGAATCGGGTCTTAATCTTGTCCAATATGGCCTGCCACTCTTTATCATCCGCGGAACCACTGAAAAGGAAATCATCCACATGCCCCGAAATCATCCCACGAAGCTGGCCCTGAACTCTCCAAACCCAGGCGCATGCATCCGAGTTTGTTCTTTCAAGACCCAGCTCCTGGAGGTACTCATCTACTGTGCGATACCATTCTAGTGGCGCATCTACCAAGCCGTAACACGCTCTTTTCAAGCGTGTGATGGTTCCTTCCGCCAGTCCCATGGCCTCACAGATTTCCGGGCATGGCACGCAGTATAGTTCCCCTGGGTACTCTCGACCCTGAAGAAATGCACCTGACACATCGCCCTTCTGAATCCTCCATCTCTTGTTCGCAGTGATCTGGAGTTGCAACTGCCGCGTCTGCCGCGTCATGACAGGTGCCGTGGTGACACGGTGCTCATAGAGCGGGTCTTGATATCCCAATAACACCGCTCTCGCCTTCGCTTTCTTGCCGCCCGAATCCGTAGGCTTCCATGTAAGGATCCACCTCATGTTTATCGCCTGGTCCTTATTTGGACGGAGTCCTTCGGGCAGCGTCTCGAACGCCTTGGCGGCCAAGAAATTCCGTACCTCGATGGCCTTGGCAGCTCGGAATTGTTTCTTCTCCTCATCATTGAGCCGTCTTTCACTGATTTCCACCGCTCGTCGCTTCATTGCTCCAACGAAGTAGCTGGAGAGGTGATGAAGAGACTGCTGAAAATTCTGCTGTCCGGCCGGAAGGTCAATCTCGACGGCTACTGCTGCATCCGACTTCTCCCAGTACGCTGTGGCCTGATTCTCCCACTGATGGTCAGGCACGGTAGCCCACCAGGCCTCCGCCACTTGGAAGCCGCTGCCTTTGGCCCGTACCGCAGCGGGCTCCCGTGAGCCCGACGAGGGTGTTGGCTCATCCTCGTCCTCCGGCTCGTCCATCTCGCTCACTGGTGCAGGACGCTTCCCTCTTAGTCTGTGTCTGCTCGGCGGCACTTCGGCCTTCAAGTCTTGTGCGCGGTGCCACTCCTCGATGGTTGGAGCTTGACCTGAGTAATCGCGATACTGGTTCCCTCCTATCTCCGTGGCCACTCGCTGGAACGTCCACGGTGTGCGATCCTCAGGAACCGCCAGCGATTCCACCAGCTCCTCTCTCTCAGAGGCCCTGCGCAACTGTTCCACACAGCACTTCAGTAAGCTTCTGCCCCGCACCAGCCACACAGAACTTCCTGGTCGCAGCAGTCCGTCGGTATCTTGCTTGCGTTCTGTGGCTAATATTCGAGCAGGGCCCAAGAATCTGCCATGCTTATCACCTGGCTGCCTACGTCCCTGCTGGCCCGTTTGAGCCCTCCAAAAATACACCAATTCTCCAGGTTGATAGTCATACACAGGCTGCGCTTTGGAGTTTCGGGCTCTAACGATTCTTTGCTGGGCCACCCAGGTAGCATGACTTCCCTCGGCCAAAGCTCTTAGCCGATGGGTCCGTTCGATTTCTCCACTTGGGTCTTCCCACAGCTGGGTCACTGGGGACATGTTCACAGCATCCAAGATGGGCCCTACATTGTCAGGGTTGTGGCCGAGGGCGTGTTGAACAGGCGAGAATCCCCGAACAGAATCCCTCTGATTGAAGGTCATTGTGGCCACTGCAAGGGCCTCCTCGGCAGTGATTTCCGGTTCTGCAGTGCAAATCTTATCCATCACGCTCTTAACACCCTGCACGGCCTGTTCACAAACTCCAAGTTTCCAATGGGCTTCACCAGGGATGATATCCAAAAAGATTTCATGTCGGTCACAAAACCCTTCCACCGCCTGAGACCTAAAGGAACCTGCAGGATCAAGTCGCAACACCTTGGGCCTTCCGAAATACTGAATCCACCCTTCCTGAAGGTAACTCAAGCACGTGTTCGCACCCGGTTGTTGTTTCAGGCCGCTAGTCAGAATCCTAGCCGTTCTGAAACGTGAACACTCGTCGATGATCAGCATGAACTGCACTTTGGCATGGGTGTGCGGGTGTGTCCAATGCCCTACATCCGCTGAAATCGTCTTCCATCTAGGTGGAAGTGGTTCCAACGTGGCGAGGTGTCGATGTCCTATCCTCCGCTTTTCTGAACACACATGACAACGGAACTCCTGTGCCAGTTCAATGACGCGCGGGGGTGCCCCTCGTCGCTTAAGTGCTTCAACTAAGTGCTTGTTACTCCCGTGTCCGGTGGCCGCGTGCAAGAGGTACAGCTGTTTCTTGATTCGCTCGTCATACTGGTTAGGTTTCTGTGACAACTGTCTCTTCCACACTCCGGCTCGCTGCAACACGAAACCTTCCTGTCTACGGGGTTCGGGATACTGGGGACACGCAAAACCCTGTTTCCTCAACTGTCCACGAAATTCCGAATCCACAACACCGCATCCCCTACTCACATACGCCGAAATCACAAGTCGCTCGCCCTTCCACGGACACGTTCCGTGCCAGGCCTTGGGGTCGAAAGTGACCACTCGTCCCTGCGTAGGACAAGCTCGGCCAGTGATCCGTCGGCCGTCGATGGATTCCTGAGTCAGGGCGTCTTGACCAGTATAGTTCGGTGGGGCTTCCACCCACAGTTCGCCTCCCGTGTAGCTTCCTACTCCGGCAACGTAGTTGGGGTACTGGGAGTCGTTATGGACATCTCTATGTATCGGCATCCGGTTGTTGCTACTCACGACGAAAGAAGACCAGTGGCTACCCGGAGGCAGTTGTTGGCTCAACCACTTGTTGATATACTGAGTCGTTTGGGGCAATTGCAAGGTGTTGTTGGTCACTCCGTACTGATTACCATGTGAGTACATGCCGAAGGTGTGGTACGACGCCGTGGTGGTTTGTGCTCGTTGCCTTTGTTTGGAGCTCTTAAGCTTCGACACCAGTTGCAACACTATCTCCACATCCTGATACTTCACATGGTTTTCCTGTAACAGCTGCTTGGAAACTTCTTCCACCTGTTCGGCCTGGCATGTTGAGTACATGCCGTTCTCGCGTGCTTCGTTAAGCTCGGGCTTCGGTCTGGGGTCATTGTTTGGGATGCTGTTTGGGCCTGTTGTTCCTAGATGGGGCCCCGCTACTGCTTGGGCCTCGGGTCCCAATCCCAATTCCTCCTTATCCCAGACGCAATTGCTACAGGTCATCTGGAACTCATGAATCTTACTTTCCCCACAGGTGCACACTTCGCCCATGCCATGCCCTTCGCTCTCTTGTAACACTGCCTGATAGCTCAACTCCTGACAGAGAACGGCGGCAACTCGTTGCGCAAAAGCTTTCGTGTAGTAAGCACTAGAGGAGGCTGAACTTCCTTCACAACGACCGTGAACATACTTACGATCACACGTGCAGGGCAAGGACATACGTTCAGCTAATCTAGCATGAGTCGTCAGAATCTTCCAGCCTTTCCGAAGCAACCTCTCATCCTTACTATCCCGAAGCTGGACCCTGCAACCCTGAGTCACCGCGGTTCTCATCTGGAGCTTTCGTTGCAACTGCTGGAACAACGGTAGGCGCCAAGCATCACATCTTTCAGACAGCTCTATGGTACAATGAATCCCTTCCTGGATGGCGGCGTGAACCACACAACAGACTCGTACATACACCTTCATCACTTCACGTCGTTTCTGGGCAAGCTGTGCTTTCTGTTGTTCGTTCCGTTGGTTCACAGACTGCAAAGGTGAGAAGGGGCCGCAGGGAGGAGACAACCACACATGTTGGGGACGTTCTCTCCTAAGCCTACCCAGTATGAACTTAAGACCCTCGGTCGTACTCAAGTCACCTGAGTTCCACAACGCGCAACGACTAGCTGCTTCCATTCTGCCCGTCTGCTCCTGGACTGCCTTCGTTAAAAGGCTGTCTGGGGAGCAGGCAACTTCCATGAGAACTGGGCGTTGGCCACCCGCTCCATCCGAGGCAATCAAATCTTGAAACAAACTAGGAACAATGCTCGCCGCTGTGTCCTCTAAGATTCGGGCTTGGCTCTGACTAAGGTCCCGGCTACACCCCAACTGTTCCTCAGCCTCAGACCGAGCGTGGTTTTCCACGCAACTGCTCAAGCCCTCAGAGTCGAACAGATCATCTACTTCATCTCCTTCTCCTTCTTGCGGGGGCGCTCGGTGGATGCGGACGCCGTCTCGCGGATCTCCTCGATCTCCTCTTTCATCTCCTTCATGGTCTCCATCATCATCTTCATCATGGCCACTTGTTCGTTCTCGGTCTTCTTCGAGGGGAGTTCGGAAGCGAGTTTGCTTCCTTGAGGCACCTCGTTCTCGGGCTCCTTGGTGTAGCCGCCGCCTCGAAGCTTCAGCTGGAGTCCCTTCTTCGGAGTTGCCACCACCGGTGTCGTGACATCCGTGGCACGCGTGAGCCACTGAGCCAAGCGCTGAAGGCGAGGGCATGAGTCCTCGGCTTCTTTGTAGGTCTTCACTACCCACTCCGTGTACTGCGGGTACGTCCGCAGGAGGTCGGAGTAGGTCAGGGCCGCATGTCGCCCGAAACCCACAACATCTCGTCCCGTGCTCTCCACATTCTTGTAGAGGTAGTCCATCGCCTTCACCTCCATCTGGTACATGGTCTCGTTGTGGTTCACCGGGAGCTTCAGGACATCCTCGAGGTATCGGGCCAGGTCGGCTTTGCGCCGCTTCTGTTTGTTGAGCTGCACAATCTGCTGTTGGAGCGGCGACAGCTTCTTGACCCCTGCGAAATTCTCCTCCTCGTCCAAGTCCATCAACTCGCGCAGCCGATGGCGTAGCTCCGCCATGTTCCACGATGCCGCTGGGATCTCTCCGTAGTCGCGGATGGACGCTGTGAGCTCGCTCTTGGTCATCTTCTGCACGGCCTTGTTCACCACGGTCTCGCTGGCCATGTTCGGTCACGAGGGCGTCGAGGGTGCTGGTCGATGGTCCGCTTGGTTCTCGAGATTGCTGCGACATACACTCTGGCGCCTGTTGTTCAGGCACGGTCTGGCTCCCTGTCTGCTCAGGATTAGTAGTAACCGAAACCCCACTACCAATCCTATCCCCAACACCAAACGCAACTGGGACCTTGGCTTCCGAGTCAGATCCTACTGCTGCCTTGGCTACATTCCCATCTCCGGAAAACTGCTGCACCTCCCGTTTACCATCCGGTTTGGCGAACGAGAGGCGTTGTCCCTACTCTGAGGCATCTATGTACGAACTCAACGAGGGAATGGCAGTCTTAGCTGCCACAGCTTGATGGTACAGGTCCTCGGTGAGATCTAACAACTGATGCCCTGTGGCCGAGCGCTTCAGGTGCACAAGTTTGCGTGGATCGAGAGCTCGAAGGACCATAAGATCTTCACTGAAATCGATGATGGCACCGAGTGCCCGTAGTGTGGCTACGGACACCAAAATCGGACCACTGCCTTTATCCAGAGCATGGATTCGCAAGTGTCCTCCTTGGCCATTGGCTTGCAGACCCAGGTCGATTGTCGACACGCACTGGGCCTCGCCGCTGTCCGCGAAGCCAAAGACCGGCTTGTTCTCGAGATCCACCGCCTTCACACCTGTACTGCCCCTCTTTTGAGCATTCCGCTGCATCACAGCTTCAATCGCCTGCACTGAGCCAAGGGTTCGTGTGGCTCCACCATCGATCACTCCGAAGCCGTTCCTCACTGCTTCGGAAGTGGTGGGGCCCAACACTGCCGAGGCTGTCGCATTGCTTGCCATTGCTTGTTCCACGTAGCATACGAAGGGAGCGGCTTCCGTCTCGGACATCTTGGCGCGCTCATTGGTGCAGTTAGCGGCCCGGTGGCCGACCTTTCCGCACTTCAGGCAGGTGATGTTGCTGTCGTCTCGGGGGCCACTGGATGACGCAGCCCCTTTTCCGAACCCTTTGCTCCCGGAGTTGAAGAACTTCCTCGACATGCGAACTTGGTGTTGTCGTCCTCGGGCTTCTTTCAGGGTGCGACGTGCGCCCTGGATTGCGGCCCACGCCTGCTGGGCCTCGGTCTCCGCGCTGGCGATCATCGCCTTCTCATCCTCGTCCAGCTCCGCATCGATCGTAGGGTCGGCGTAGGCCTCGTAGGCTTCTTCGGTCTCATCCTCCTCGGGGGTCTCCCCCCAGAATCAATCCCTGTTCAAAGCAACTGACCTTCCGTTCGTTGGTATCTAACCTTCTGACCTTTTCGTTTTGGGAGCATTAAGGGGCTTTGAAAGCAGGATTTAAAGTGAGCATTGAAGACCATGAACAGTGAACAGTGGACAGCAACAGCAGCAAATGCAGGAGCAGCAGCAGCCGGAACAGATTGCAACTTGGAATGGGGGTGGGGCAGGGAAAGCTCATCAACGATGTCATGAATATATTGTTGCCAGAGGGAATATACACGACACTGTTCTCTGTAGTAGTAGTAGTAGTAGTAGCAGCAGCAGCAGGAGTAGTAGTAGTGGTAGTACCAGCAGCAGCAGGAGTAGTAGCAGCAGCAGCAGGAGTAGTAGCAGTAGTAGTAGTAGTAGTAGTAGTAGTGGTAGTAGTGGTAGTTGTGTGTCGTCATGGTAGTTGTAGCGGTAGTGGTAGTGGTAGTGAAAATGGTAGTGGTAGTAGTACAGTATAAAGTGGTAGTAGTAGTAGTCGTAGTACTAGTAATAGTCGCAGTAACGACACTGTCCCCTGTCCAATGTGCATGTGCTCGCGCGCGCTGTTGACTGTGCTCGCCCACGCTGCGCGCGCA